TCTTGGATTTGTACTTGCAATTGTTCAATTCTGGATTTTTGTTCGGCTTCCGAATTTTTTAACAATGTAATCTCGTCTTTTAATGATTGTAAACTAGTTGATTGTTTTTCTGCTGTTGAAAGTTTAGTCTCTAACTCTTGAATAGTTGTACGAAGATACGAATCAGTTGACTTGGCTTCTGAAAGTTCATCCTTTAAAGCAGTTAGTGAATCAGTGTCCTCTGAAGAATCAGTTTCAGATATGGAATTATTTAATTTAGATTCAAGATCCTTTATGGTCCGATTATTAACAAATTCAGCTTCTTTAGCCAATGCTAATTCCGTTCTTAATTTAATGATATTTTCATATTCAAGTAAAAGTGCTGCAATGGTGTGACTTTTTGATTCAATTTCAACTTGAAGTTTCTCAATCTGTCGTTGGTGTGCCAATAATTTGTCTTTTTCATTTTCTGATTTTGAGGCATTGGCATTTTCTTCTGGTATTGAATCAATTGAATCATCAAGAGATTTAACTGTCTCTACAATTTTTTCCTGTTGGGTTCCTTGAGCATCGACTAATTGTTTTTCCAATTCTTTAATACGCAATTCTAATTCAACTACACGTGAATCATTATTTTGACCATCGATTTTAGAATCTTGAACACTTTGTAATTCTTCACGGAGATCACGAATGTTTGATTCAATTCTTGAAACTTGGTTAATATTTTCCTTTTTATATTTCGAGAGAACTTCCATTTCTAACCTCTGTTCTTCCTTAAGTTGTTCAACTTCTTCACGAAGTCGTTGGACAATATCAAGTTTATCAACGTCACTCATAGAAGGAGAATAACCTTCAGTATAAGTGTGATCTGATGTTACTACGGACATAACTTCTAGTTGGGCCAACGCGTCACGTCTCTTGATCTCTTCGCGCAACTCTTCAACAAGTTCAAGAGTTTCACGATAACACATTTCTAAACGAGCAAATTCTTGTTTAATAGTACCTAAACCTTGATCTTTATCATCATGAAGTGAAGAAAGTTGTTTAAGTTCAGTGTTTAGTTTTTGCATAATAACTTGATGGACCAGATCACGTTTTTCGGTACTTTTTATTTCTGAAAGCGATTTAGCCTTTCTGTGATAAACACGTTTAGCAACATCGAGTGATTTATGAAGAGCTTCTTTACTTAATTCATTAGAACGTGCCGATTGTGGAAGTGAAAATCTAAAATTCGAACTAGTAGGTGACATTGGTGTAATCGGTGTTGAAGGAGTTGATTTAAAGTTATCTTCTCTTTCTGAATAAATCAATTTGGCTTCTGATAATTGTGCACGAAGGTCATCCATTTCGGCAACACTTGCTTGGTATTTATCCTTCATTTCATTAAATTCTTTTACGGTATTGTCGTGAGTTTTCTGTAATTCAGAAAGTTTTGCTTCCAATACAACGGTCATTCGTTCTTGCTCACTAGTTAATTGAGGTGTAATGGATCGTGATGATGACAAAGTTGTAGATAATTCAGAAGTAGAACGTTCATGACCATCGGTTTCATCAATTAAAGAATTAGAAAATGAAGAATTAGAAAATTCTCGTAATCTATCTAATTCTTTCATGAGTAAATCGACTTTTTGTTCAAGTTGAGTGATTCTTTTATCACGATCATCAATTTCATCCAGTAATAATTTTTTATCATCAACTTCCACAAGTCTCATACGGTTCTCTAGATCTTGATAAGAAGCTTCACGATCCTGGAGACGTCTTTCGAGGTTGGCAACATTTTGACGAAATTTATTTAATTGTTCCTCACTTGTAGCTAATCGAGATTCTAAACTTTGAATATAACCTTCAGTACTATCACCATTTGATTTCAATTGAGAGATTTTATTCCTTAGTTCATTTATTAAATCTTGATCTTTCTGTTGTTCCATAGATTGAGCCTCAAGTTTAGATTCTAAATCTTTAATATAATGTTCGGTAGTGGATTCACGTTCACTAAATCTAGCGACTTTGTTTCTTAAATCATTTATTAAAGATTTACTTTGCTCGTTAGTTTGTTCAGCATAATTTAATTTTTGTTCTTGTTCTTGCATCGTATTTTCAGAATGCGCCAATGCAGCACGTGCAAGTGCAAGTTGACTTTCGAGTGCGGATATTGATTTCTCATATT